TCAGGATTTTGTATCTTAATGGATATTGAACCTAGTTTCTAAGAATTAGGATATTGGACTCAGTTTTCAAGAATAATAAAGATACAAGACTCGGTTTTCAAGAATTATAAAGATACAGGACTCAGTTTTCAAGAATTATAAGGATATAGGACTCAGTTTTCAAGAATTATAAAGATACAGGACTCAGTTTTCAAGAATTATAAAGATACAGGACTCAGTTTTCAAGAATTATAAAGATACAGGACTCAGTTTTTAAGAATTATAAGGATATTTGTCTAGTTTTTAAGATTTATAAGGATATTGGACTCAGTTTTCAAAAATTATAAGGATATCAGACCTTATTTTCAAGATATTGTACTCAATTTTCCAGACTTAAAATACTGAAACTACTTTTTAAGACCTGTAGGCTACATTTTCAAGACTTGAAAGGATATTGGACCTAGTTTTTAAGACTATAGGGATATTATACATGCACATAGTTTCCAATGTACTAATATATCTTCAGAGATCTCTTAAATTCATTTCATGGGACTATAAGTATTTTGGGCTTAATTTTCCTGGGACTTCATGAAATTGAGGCAACAAAACTGACATTCAATGTATGTCAAGGAACTAAGGACTAATTTAAGAATCCTAACTTGTCACAAGACTACTTGTTTTTGTATAACCGCTTGCAAACCACCTGTACACATTATGAAGGGAAGAGGTAATAAAAGTCTGCACAAAAAAAAGGATATAAAGGTATCCTTATCACAAAACAAAGAATTTCAGGATCACCTTCATATTTTTATCAAGACTGTAAATATCTCCTATGCAGACATTTACAATGGATGTCCTAATATACACACTGTGTCTAAAGTGTATAAAACTATATCTGCTGCAAAACTCATTGTTTGAATTTTGAAAAAAAAGACATCAAAAACGCTTGAATTTATGAAATATGGTAGTAAATTATTGCCTTTGCTAAATGGGTAAATCCCTACTTAAAAAGGCAGACTGATATTTTGTTTCAGACCATTTTATTCCGTTTACTTACAACATTCATGTGTGTAAAATAACAGAGGCATTTCATGTTACAATTATTTCCAGAATCCACCATATGATTATGGAAGCAATATAAATTTACTGTTGATATTCTATGAAAATATTTCATTAGATATAGCTTTATTTAGATAACCTAAAGATTTCCTGTCCAAATTTACATGCGATCCAAAAATCCCATATAGAACCGTCCAGTAATAATTTTAGTAACCATTCTGGATATAGTGATAGAAAATTAAATACCTTTATACTATAAATTCAAACAAAGTGCACATAAATTATTCTTTTCATCTTTATTTATCAAAAACATAAATATCAAGTGAATACTTCTGATTTTTTCCAAAATGATACAAGTTATAAAGTTATTATAATTAAAGTAGTCATTCACTTGCAGAATCATGGAAACATTATAAATGTACATGTACATGTACTAGTTAAGTCCACTAAATGTTTGTATTTTTTCATCTTAAATTTATGCCCTGATGCCTTAGCAATTTCCTTGCAAAGATTTTGTTCCTGCCTGTGTTGTTGTTTTTGTTTTGTTTTATTCATAATTTGCTGCCAGATTGATTCAGAATTATGTGATACATTTCAGAACAGTTCACTCATATAATTCTAAATTTTCTTTCGTTTATGATGTTTTTTTACACTGGTATTTGTGTATGTACATGTATATGGATAATAAAAGTCTACAAAAATATCAAAGTGAAAGTAAACAATGTAGATCCCAACTCATAGGATATCCATCAAGCAGGAATATTCATTTAAGCACTATGATTCTTTCAATAGATAAAGCATTGGCATAATAGAAGTGATTTCAATATTCTTCTATTTAATTAACACGTAACAAAAACACACATGATCAACTTTCCAGGAATGATACATAGTCTGTTAACACTGATAACTGTTGTTCATTGGCTAAAACTGGATCAGACTGGGCCACTGAAAAATGAAAACAAAAAATCTAGTTACTGTATAGATCAATGAATGGTTTGTTATGAAAATTATAACAATATTTTATTCTATAAAAGTTTAAAGGAGCTCCACCGAGGTCAAAAAGCCTGAAAGATAAAAAAATTGAACTTTCTACACAAATCAAGTGAAGCTTTTGAAATAGAGAAATCTGCAAAGGATGATAAAGCAATATACACAGAATAAAATTTGGTCTGACGGCAATCTGGTGCTGAAGGACCTCAAATGGCTCTTCATGCATTATTGTAGGTACAAGCAGGCACCTGTGTAGAACCACTGACCTCTTGAAGCATTGGTGGGATTTGAACCCAATGTGTTGAGAAGCAAGTAGTTTGAAGTACCTTCATTTAATATGATGGCACGTGTATATTAAATTCCCAAGCCATCAAACAAGTAAGTACTTGGCAATTTTAAAGTGTGCCACACATTGTTTTTATTGCATTGTATTATAAATCATTATAAGAAGGTATTCAAGTTACCAAGGAAAAAGCACTACCAGTAAATGATATTAAACAGCCTTTTGATTTACTACAAGTAATCAAATCATCAAATTTGTAAGTACTGTGTAACTTTTATAGCCACCAATATGATTTTAGGGGTTACTGGAGGTTTAAAATAGCAATTGTCATCCTTAATTTTCTGTCAATTAACTGAATGAAATCTGTAAATATCATACCTGGCTTTCTAGGTGTAACTAATTTTGTGTTTGGATCAGCTTGCCATCCTTCATTTTGTGCCGCTGTAAATATATAATGTACATGTATACAGTAATTATAACAACAACTTATACTTGTGTAATTTCAGTATTTTAGTTTGTTGGAAGACACCCATCTTTTTCTTAAAGACATGTCATGCTGCAGAAATGAATTTATTTATTCTTCTTAAGTAGAGGCAAGCATGTCTTTAGTTATGCTTAATAACTGGCGGATTTAAAAGTGTGAATCTGATGAAATATTTTTATGAAATTTGTTAACAGTAAAATCATGTTGTTTTCATAATCTAATGTTCTATTTTCGAAAGAGTGGCAACATAAAAATTTCTATGTTAATCAACACATATGAATTATGTTGTACACATACATTTGTAATAAAACATTCCAGAATCAAATATTAGACTGCTATTCTAAGTAGGGTTTTGACAGTTAAACAAAGATTTTTTGCATGTATTATTCGCTCTTATTTCTTTGATTCAAGCATTTTAGAACTTTTCTTTTTTAAATTTCAAACACTTATTTTTGCAGCAAATTTATAGCTTTATACTCTGTAAAGCAAAGATTTTAATGAGATGCTTCTCACAGAAGTAATGACCTTTGACCTAGTGACCCCAAAATCAATAGGGGTTATGTACTAGTTATGACCAATCACTATGTGAAATAAGAAAACTTTGTGATGAATAGTTTTCAAGATAATCAGCGGAAACCATTCTGACATTTAAGGACCCTGTGACCTTGACCTTTGACCTAGTGACCCCAAATTCAAAAGAGGTCATCTACTAGTTATGATCAATCACTATGTGAAATATGAAGACTTTGTAATTAATAGTTTATTATTTTATCCTCACATAATATTTAAATAATCAATTATACATGGTACATGTATTATTATCAATTTTATTATAGCCTGTCAATACTGCCTTGGTGTATTAAATCTTTTAACATTAATTACAATGTACATTTCAAGATCCCTCTGCCATACCATACAGCTTCAATATTGGCACCTGCTTACCTTTCACTGTATTTTTTAATAAACAACTGTGAAATCACAACTCATTATAAAAGACTCAAAATTAATTTACAAATTCCTTCTCCCATACCATTCACAATATCAGCCTTTCCTAATTCTCTTACCCATACCTTCAAATAACATCATTTATAAAAATCCTCTCCCATACCTTTTACTGCATCATTAACAGGCATGCCCATGTAGGCAGCAAATTCTTCTGCATTGATGGAGGAATATGCCTGAGCTACCAAATTAAAGGCACGCCTTCTAGTAGCCTCTGAAAAAGTTTAGCATTTATAACAATTTTAAAGTTTGTACATTCTTTAACAGGATTCTTAAATCTAAAAAGATGTAAAATTATTATGAAAACTTTATGCACACTTAATCTATATTCAGATACTTGTAATGATAAATCTAAACTGTTACCCTGAGGATTTTGTATCCTGCTTTGAATTGGACTATCTATTGTTAAAGTTTCAAAATACATTTTACTAACAAGAGCTGTCAGTAGGACACAATGTGCTCAACTATTCTCAGTGCTTGATACTAAAACAACAGCCTGTATAATGTAGAATTCACTATTAAGTTAAAAGAGGCCCTTATTCTGTCATAATCCATACATGTTAGATTTTTGGCTTTGGACAGAGACCTATTAGGCTCTTAAATAAATGTATGTAGTTTCAAACCTTTCCTTTCAGTAGTTTTGAGATACCAACTTGCACAAATAAACTAAACGGAAGTGTGAAGGCGAGGCCAATGTCTGGATTAGTACAATTGTTCTTCCTAATCTTCATATAGTCAAGTTAAAAGATGGTAGACTAAATACCTAATACAGCAGCCATGATATCTTTGTACGGGTCTGTCCACTCTTTCTGTATAGTTTCATAAATCCCAGGAAAATCTCTCTGCCACATCTTCTGTCCAACAGCCCAAAGCAAAGCCAACTCCGGGCAACCCTAGTGATTCAACAGAATATTGTAAATAAAGTCAGGTTGAACATCAACATTAACTTACTTTTGATGTTGGAAGCAACTTAATCTACCCATGCAACAAGTGAAGACTAGAATTATATGGCAAATTCTTAAAAAGTTGGATTTTTTTTAAGGTTTCCTTTTTATATCATGCTAAAATGACATCTCCCAGATATCTTTATCTATTTAAGTTGATACTGTTTATGTTAGAAGAATCCTTGACCATTCATTAGCAACAGTATGCAATTCAGTAATGAAAGGTACCAGAATGAAGTCATTTGTCGCTTTGATGCAATAAAAATAACCACTGTGGCCAACAGCCTATGTGGTCAATTTCTACCTATCAAAATTCAAAGCTTTTGTTAAATACAAAATGTAGACGATAAACACCACTGAAACCAATTACATGTATTTCCTAAATACAGAAACTAAGCAGAGAAATGGGTTACTTTATTATGTAAACATAAACATTATAATAATCTTTTTAACATCAAAACAGGATCTTTAAGTGGTGCTCTATAGCTTTCTGACTGCAAGGAGTTTCAAAGTCTGACACTTAAAATGTACTTACTGTTTTTACTTGTTGAGGAATCCTTTTCCAAAGAAATTTTGCATTACACCTGGAACAGAATAAATTCTACAATAATGTTTTACATCTGATTATACATCTTATTTTCCCTTTAAATAATTATGATTATAACTTAAAAATCCTGTGGTGGTGTGGCTGAGTGGTTAAGTTAATAGCATGTCAGAATAGTTATCTAAGGTTAGATGGCTGCATCAGGTCGAACCCTATCAAGGGCAAGCTTTTGTTCCATTGAGCAAAAAACTACACTTGTAGTCAAGCACTGGTTGGTTAAAAGAACTCATTCAAGACTTAGACTAATTGTAATTGTATAAGTTTTTAGCTTGCAACTCAATCAAACCAAATAAATATTTTGTATCACCCAAATGGACTAAAAAATCTATTATAATTAGAAAACAAATATACAATGACATTAATGTTTGCAGGGCATTTTTTTACAGGTTGGAGAAGCAGCCTTGCCCTTAATTTTGGGGGAAAATTACCCGGTATAGTTCCAAAAGGGGATGAAAAAACTTTGGGACGAAAAAACTTTATGTAAATTCAGTTATTGGGGAAAACTTTGATTTTAAGAATTTTTCTTTGGGGAAGCAGCCCTATAATGGCCCCTGCTTTAGAAGAAGGATAAAAAAAAGCCCTGGTTAGTCTATTTAAGTTTCACTCAAATCTAAATCCATGTTCACTGTTCTAAACTATACATATATAGTGTAACTGTTGTTAATCCAGAAATTTGATTAATTCACAGACACTTGGGGTGTGGATTTCTAATTCCTAAAAAATCTTAAATTTGTCAATCTCAGCACAGTGCCCAACTGCAGTTGCTAGACAAAAGAAAAAGGATTACCTGTATGTGAAAATGGAATAGAATGAAAAGTGATCAGGGTGCTTTGTTTTTCTTAGCAAACATTTTTATTTGTGTACAGATTTTCAGCCCCAAAGCACACTTTTTTACAAATAAAATAAGAATTTGCCAACGCAAGAGAATGAAACTTTTACAGAACACAGTTAGGTACCTGTCCAGCATTACATCATCTCATCAGCAGCCAATTGTATAAACGATGGTTAAAATATACCACGGTAAGTTAATAACCGCGGTATATATTGTGGTTAGGTAACCGCGCGGTTATTCCATTTGTACAAACAAATTTACCACAAGGTAACCTAACCACGCAAAACTGAAAATTTAACCATGGTAATATTACCAATGATGCACCACGATGTGACGTTATTTTCGCGGACAAACTTCAGACATCGTTTTTCTTGTTGAATAGTGCTTTTTTATATGTCTTATGCTTGACTTTGATATAATGAATTAAATTCTTTTGCTGCATTTATTGCTAGATAATGATGAAATGAAACAAGAATGATCTAATTCTAATTTATTTTATCATAAAATGTGAAAAGATACAATGTATACCGCGGGAAATTCAAAAACAAAGCCAATTAAGCCAAAGACTACATTGTAGGCCCACATTTTTTAAATGTTGTCTATAAAATTTAAATATAATATGCTATTAATCTAGATCTACTGAACAAGTTACATAATTATTCAATACAGTCATGTATGTCATATATGCAACTGCAGAGATCGTGTGCTCGTTGAACAATAATAATGGCGAAACCTGTCTTCCATACAAAAAGCTGTGATGTAATCAATATTATTGATGTCATCGTGTACACTATGACGTAGAAACTTCATTCAAGTTTACAGGATAGTTTATACGTCATTGACTAATATAAATATAAACAAGAGATCGTGGATATTTTTTTGTTATATTATATTCAATTGATTTGTGATTTTGTGTCATAAAGGAGTGAATCCGAGGGATATTATTAATCTATACATGTACTGTAGATAGAATAAACTTTTGCAGAGACACTGACAGGTAAGACCTTTCTAAATACATGTACAGTATACAGTATAGATCTTATTTATGGAAATAATGCAGTTGTTGAAATGCACTGTGATCACAAGTTGCTTGAAAATAAATGCTATGTTGATGGGTTTTTTTTTAACAATAGCTGCTTCGTCTGGTTGTCCTTGCGATTGTATTTTTGCATGTGTGTCATCTATGCAGATGAAAAACCGCGTTTTGTGTATTTAAATCCACAATTTCTTAAATATTTTCGTGGTATCAGCGCTTGGTTCCATCATTGAAGTCTGACAAGTTTTTAATGCTGTCTGCAGCAAATAAGTATCTTTTCTGTAACTCCTCGTCCGTCAAATCAGTCACCTATCTGTCAATTCGTCGGAATTGTGGGGTTGTCTGTGCTTACACGTAAAATGTCCGCCATGTTTGTTTTGGTTACCGTGCAGTTACCAAGCTTCAGTACCTGGGTTAGATTTAACCGTGGTTAAAGCGCGGTTATTGGTTTTGATATTTTTTATACAATCACTTACCGCGAGGTTACCGGGCTGGTTACCGTAACCGTGTGGTAACCGCGCGGTTAAATTGTTTATACAATTGGCTGCAGCAAGTAATTGTTCAAAAATACTGATTAACCTGGAATAAGCCTTCAATTATTGTGCATGAGATTCAAACCTGAATTCCCCAGGTATTGCTGATGGTTTTCTCGAAGGTAACTTTAAATAACAGGCAAATCTTCAAAATATATAAACCATTGAACTTGTTTAATTGCTGTGTTGCCTAGAAAACAAATGTCTCCCTGATTTGATGATTTGCACTGATGCTTCATTGGTAAAATAAGCTGTACTCAGGGTTGTCATTAAGAGGCGGCAGGAGGCCAAAATGCCTGTCTCAAATGCATTATGGGCCGCCTCAAAATTAAGAAAACACTCTTTGTTATGCATGATAAAGACAGAAATGACCGCCTCAAGTTCAAAACAAACCTTCTGCAAAAAATGTTAATGACAACCCTGTACAGTACTGGAGGAAAACTATGAAGGAATGAAAACTGCTAGGATCTGGAAACCCCAACTGCTATGCTACCACTGCAAACCAGCATAACAATATTATTAGACCCTGCATAAAAATAATTGTTTTTAACAAAACAGTGTTTATTTGGTTCTATTGATTTATGATAAGTTTACTTGTGTGAAGGGCGGCATTCGTTAAATATATCCTCGATTGATGTATATTCGCGGTATTAGGCACATTTGTGAGAAATAATGTGGAAAAAAGATAAATAATAAATTATACACCTAATGTTTGCTTACAATTGGCCTTTTTCAATTTCAAGTCAGTTCAAGTTTCACCAACTTACACTCGTATTTGTCAGTGGTAACTTTAAATAATAAGCGTCTGTCATGACCGCCGCCATATTGGAACTGTATGTTAATTCGCGGACGACTACAAATACGTCATTGTAGGTCAAATCAGTGCACATGACAAAAATTCCAGTCACTTTAAACTGAGAAAATATCAATTTTTCAGAACAATGTTGATTTTGTATATCTATTTCTTATTTGCAGTTTTATTTTGTAAACATGTAAGTAGTAAAAAAAACAAAAACAGCCGATAAATTCGATTTTCACCTCCCCATATGACCCTCATTTCCGGCAAAAGATTTAAGTAGGTCAAGTGCTTGCACATTGTAATCTAAACCTGTGATTACATCTTAAAGTTTGATGATGACATAAAAGTTATTCTGTCAATTTTATTTTGGTCAAATAGGCTTAAAGTTAGACCTAATTAATTTTTAAATGAAGGAAATGACACTTTTTGCGTTAGCTGATATGGGTATCCAAAATCGGTCAGTAAATTTATTCATAGCCTCGGTTTGGGAAAAAAAGCATGGCCGACTGACCTTCACATCTTGAAGAAATTTCCGGAACTGGGAATTGTTCGACAAACTTTTCTAAGTAAATAAAAATGGATTACTTATAAGGTAGATATTTGGGCATAAGTAAAATCATGTTTTTTTATACTTATTAGAAAATAAACAATAAACTGCCCATTTTTGTGTGATTTGTGATGGTTTGATACACGAAACATATGTAGACACATTTTGCGAGAAATATTACGTCATTGTCGGGCAGGTGCGACGAGATTTTACGAGATTATCCAAGTGTAAACAAAATCCGCAAATTTATATACACCGCGATTTTACATACATCGACGATATACATTATACTAAAAAGACCTAGAGCATAATTTGTTTGGCTAGTGCTAGGCTTGACAATTTTACAATATATTTGGATTTTAAACAGTATTTATCTGGATTTTAAGGTGTTTGGGGCTTCCCACCTCTAGCATCTGTGGAGAAAATAGGTAATTTTAACATTACTTACGTGTCATTTTGTAAGAGATAAATGCACAGCAATTTTCCATAAACAGTTGTATTTGCAACGCCTCCTGCAGCCTGAATAATAACATTTTATTAAAAAAAAACGTATAATCTGTGTAACACAAACTACATCTCTAGGACAGGTTTTCTAAATTCATTATACTATTTGAAAGACACTACCTAGCATAAAATTGACATATTCTCAGATCGCGAAAACTAGTGACAAAATGATAAAACTCCATAATTCTGTTTAATTGAAATTTAGTTAGATATTAAACACTCTGGAATTTCTAATGCCAATATACCTCAAGTTCCTGATTCTCTAAGTCTCTTGCAAGAGCAACATAATCTGTTATTTGTTGCTCTGTTTCCATTTTTGACAATTTGTTGTTTTTCTCGAATCTACCCCAAAGAATAGAATTTGACCAAAGAACATTAAACCCTTTGTTGTTTAATGTGGAGTCAACAGTGAAAGAATTCAAAGTGTGATAAAATGATCTAACAATGTTGACCCCATTCAATAATGACTTTCAGCTCAGCCAAATGCAACAACTGTCGAGTTTCTTTCTCTCATTTCGTTTTCAAGAACTGTGTTTGTTGAATTTAACAGAAAGGCACCAACGCATATAAATTACTGGTTTCATAGCAGTTTCCGCGTCCAAAATAGTCCATTTTTACCAGTAGGACACCTATGTTACTTCATCAATTCATATCTGTGAAGTTCCATGCGCAATAACTGAGACCCTATTCCGGGTAAATTAATAGGCAACAATATATTTGAGAACGACGCGGGTTCTGTTTCTTTTGATAAAATCCACAGACACTTTGGGTGTGGAGCTCAAAACGCCTTTAAAATCCAAATAAAATGCACATTTGTCAACTTCACCACATGTACTGACCATATATATACCTGTTTATATATATAAAAAATAATAAAAGCCGTTTTGAAAAAAAATCATATTTCAACGTCTATAATTATACATTATTTATTATTATAGACGTTGAAATATGATTTTTTTTTCAAAACGGCTTATATTAATTTTTTCATATATATGATCAGTGCATGTGCTAAATTCATCCTAAAATTTCTTACTGGTACTGAATTATATTCACACTAGGAAAGGTCCGAAAAACTGCTATGAAATTTTGAACTTAAGCGAGAAAACGTTATATCCAGGCCTATATTCTAATTAAAAAGGAAAGTTGAAAACATGGTTACACTGGACAGGTTCTTAACTTTGTTCTGTCAATGTTTTGTACTCGTTCGTAGGCAGATTTTTATTTTATTTGTTACAAAGTGCGATTAGGGGCCGTTAACTGCTATATAGGAAACCAGTACCGTCTTCCGTTAGACTAGCAACAAAAACAAATGCATGTGTAAATAATATATGCTTGAATGCTATAATAAATTGATAAAACAAAAGAGAAGGAAACTTTAAATCATAAATTTATCCAAGCATTTACGTATTCCCACATCCAAATCGATATTTAAGGGGATTCGTTTGATAAAAGTGTCTGTTTCTCAATCCAGAGATCATTGGTTCAAGACTTACTACTATGTTTCTTTAAATTTCACCAATACATGCTAGTTCCAGGAAAAGAATTTGAATCTTCAAGCTTTCATGAAATAAATATGTTTCAAGTAACTCGGTATTTTATGATGAAGATGCATCTTTTGTTTGAAAAACTGACCGGGTTAATACTGTAAGGGTTTAGATAATGGCCCTGGTCTTTTTTTACCGGGGATTTTCTTTTTCTATAAAAATGTAAATCTTTCGAAAAACCCACAATTTTTGGTTCCAACCTTTTACCACCATTTTTTATCAGTTTAAGATTAGAAATTTTCCCTTTAAATTTTTGGAGGTTCATTTTTACAGCAATATAAGGCACAGCTACTAGAGCTCTAAGCACGTAGCCCAAGAATTATGGAATCGGGAGTTCCGCGTGGTATGGTAGTTTTTCGGACCGACTTTATTCTTTATATAAAGTGTACAATGTTTCGTAATAAACAGCACTATTAACTGTTGTCAACCGTTCATACACAGTTTGTGTAATTCCGTTTCGGATTATGAATTTCATCAGTTTAGAGGGTTCTTCTTTACAGCAATATAAGTTCTATTTTACAGCTCTAGCCCAAAGAATATGACCTCGATAGGCCCAAATGGCATGGTCGTTTTTTTTATAGGTGAATTGATATTTTTCTATATAAAGTAAGTATGAATTTTCTTAATAAATTTATACCATTTTCTTGTGCGAACTGTTAAAACAACATTTATCTGATTTCGTTGTGCATTACGCTCTGGCATTAGGTTGGAGGTTCTTCTTCACAGCAGTATAAGCCACAAAGCGCTAACCAAACGGAAATGGCCCCTTGAGGCCGACATGGCATGGTTGTTTTAAGGACCGGCGATATGTTCTTTCTGTTTGTGTATCTTTATATCGATTTTAAACTTTGCAAACATTTTCGCAGAGACTCAACCCTTCTGAAACTATGGTCTATATTATTTTAAATTGGCACGAAACAGTGTTCTTACAAATTTATAAAAACGTGATACATTGTAATTAAAATGAACACGATGAAAATGAAACAGGTGTAATAGTAATTCTGAAAATTGCACAGGGGTACGTCTCATTGAATGTTCACAAACTGTATGTTTGATAGCTGAAAACATTTATTACATATTATTAGTATTAGAATTCGCTGTATGGTTTCAGAGGAGAAGATCTTTAAGAAAAATCCATGACCACATGGCCACGACATAGTATCTCGTGTCCACGAGTTAATAACTCGTGGTCACGACATAGTATCTCGTTCCCATGACTTAATTATCTCGTGGCCACGACTTAGTAACTCGTGGCCACGACTTAGTAACTCGTGCCCAAGAGATAGTATATCGTTCCCACGACTAAGTAACTCGTGGCCACGACATAGTATCTCGTGGAATTTGATGTCACTGTGATTACATGTCATTCGTTTTGTTAACACCGTCTGAACAGTGTGATTATTTGCTTAGGTTAGCTGTTACAATTGACGGGGACATGTTTAAACATATACATTTTACTATACGTGTTTGCAAAATGTACGATTAGTGTGATATAGAACAAACTCACTTTATATCAGATACTTTGAAATAATCAAATTGCATATGTAATGTAGTTATGTATTTTCGTCATAGTTTCTTTTTATAGCTTTATAACTTAATTATACTTAAATATGCAGGAACAAATTCCATTGTAAATTGACTAGCCTTTCGTTTTCGTTTCTAGTTAATTTTGAACCAGTGGACATTGTTTTTTGTCAGTTGTTTATACTTAATAATTGTTACTATGAATAACGATTTTGTCTGACATTTTCGATCTTCATTTCTTCGTTTAGACAACTGTGAGATTCTTAAGGACGCATTTGCTATTCTGATTCTGATTGATCTGTCCATATATTTCTATTTACTGTCTGTAAAATATTATTAATTTGTTACATGTATTATGCTCTTCAATATTGGAGGAATAAAAGATATTATTACGGGATAAATAAAAACACACACACACACATGTCACCTTTGTGCCACCGTAAATTTCTTATTATGATATTGATTTTTATGTTTGATCGTGTTTAAACTTAAAGAAATGATCAATGAATTTAAAAAAAAATGTATTTATAATTTTTTTTGTGATTGATAAAATCAATTTTGCCATAATATGGTATAACGTAACTCCATATACTACTTGGTCGTTTTATATAACAGTTATCTCTCTTAGATTATATCAATTTTCGTTCAGCACAAAATAATAATCTTATGCACCACTTCACACCTTTGACCATCTCCGAATAAAGATAACCCTGTAAATAAAGACCACACGAAGAAAACCTTCAAAAAAAACTTCTTATGAATTCGTTTTGGATGGACATTGTCCATCGGTTTAAAAGTATATACATTTGTATACTTATAGGCGGTGCTGGTTTCTTTAAAAGTATAATTTGTATATGTTTGAACCATTTGAATTGACAATTTCAACTTCACGAATCCATGATATCAAATTCATGAATTCCCGATTTCAACTTCACGAATTCACGATTTCAATTTCATGAAGTTGAAATCGTGAAATCGTGAAGCTGAAATCGTGAATTCATGAAGCTAAAATCGTGAATTCATGAAGTTGAAATGTCCCAACCGGTCTTTCGTAGAAATGCCTCCAAAAAGTGAAGTCACCTATAAATACGTGGTTTATTTGTTAGCACACTAGACCGGCAATCCAGAGGCCCGTGGTTCGAAACCTACCTCTGGGGCGCCAGTTAATTCGTGGGTTATTTATTTTTCTCTGTTCTTGATCAATATTTGGGACATTAAGATGGAAAATTAAAGTTAGTACATTAAAGATCCTGGTCACACTGCACCCATTGTTCTACCTGGCCTGGCTCGATACTGAGGACACATAAGGCTTATCACTCTTGACTCCAGTAGAATAGAGGTTAAAGGCCCATTATGCCCAAGAAATGCTTTCACTCTTTTTTTCTCAAAATCTTGTTTTTTTATCTTTGAAAGTCTTTTATAGTTTACAACAAGTTACTCATTTTTCAGTTATCTGGACTGTCTTCTTCTTCTTCTGTTGTTTTTTTGTAATTTTGACAATTAGTATATTTATAGGGATTTCGAATGGAAGTCAAAATCTGTTTTGTTCACATTTTGCTGCTTAAATGATTGTATGATTATCATTTTACATTCAGTGCTGTTTTATTCAGAAAACAAGCATCTAACATGCTCTAAAACCATTATCTAAACGTTATAAAATTCATGTGAGTACATAGGCACCCGTCGTTAGGCGGTGGCGATCATTTATTCATGTAGCTAAGTACGCCAATGCATGATTCTATTTTTATCTTTGATAGATTTGTTCTATTTATATATATATACGCTCAACTTATATAACAAATAATCGATTGAAATGCTGCTTTAGAAATGCTCGATTATCTGTGCGGTTTGAATCTTTATAGTGACCTAGTTCATATACAAAATCAATAAACTATCAAATATATAAGCTGCCAGTGCACTTAGTTCATTGGCCGCCAATACCCGTTTATCAAAGCGCTGTGCTGCACTTTACATTGTCACTCGACATTGGGCCGTACAATGACTCATGGAAAGCATTATTTCATTCCTAGTACAAGTGACACCTACACACACACCCTCCCCGACATGTGTGCACTGCGTATAATACATGTGTAGTCTTTTTCTGAGAACACTAATAACTTAAATACAACAAAATTACATGGAAATTGCAAACTCAGTTTGATTGAGTCTGTACATGAGGGATAATGAAAAAGTGCAATCCCGCCCCATACAGCACCGGTTTAAGCGGTATTCAATTTTCAACACTTAAAAGTACTCAAATCAATGATCCTAATAGTGCAACTCACTTGCTGTTGCGATGTATAAATATCTGCAAAAAGTGGGTCGGAAGTCAGTCC